AAATTGAAGTGGCTAGTTTTAAAAATTCTGTTGCCATGTTGCTATTTGTTGAAGTTACTGTTTCAGATATGCTCATATTTAGTTTGTATTTTGAATTTATTTCGTGCAGTCTGTCCCTGCATTTACTATTGAACCAAAAGACTTTCTTGTTATGCTTAAACAATTGTTCATATTTTAACACAATTTCGATTGCTTTATTATATTCTTCGATTAGTATTTTTATATGTTTATCCCGAGTTGGTAACAATGGTTTTCTGATCGTAATCGCTTTGTACGATCTTTCAAAAGTATTCTTGCAATTAACTAACCTACTAACAATTTGAAACCAGTCACTCATTTACTGTGTACATAAAACATTGTGCATTTAAGATCAATTTTCTAATTATTAAAATTATTGTCATATATAAATGTGAATATTTGTATTTACTTTTATATTAAATAAGCTTAAATTCAATAATAAGGCTTCATGCAATACATTATGCGATGACCAAATAGATAATTATATTATGCACAAAACTAAAAATCTTACTATTACATTGATATAAAGTCGGCACCTACAGATCATCTTTTTATCTGCTATTTGCTGATGTCGCTTGTAACGATTAAAATTTGTGACAATTTAAGTGTTACAACATCGTGGGTTCCGTAGCCCAACAACAATTGGTTCCAACAAAGCAATAACCTTTCGCTATGCAGCATCACCATACGCTACACCAAACCGCAACAGCCCACCCCGCATCAACAGAACGTGTACGATTGGCAAAGTCTGAAAATACATAAAATTAAATTTGGTGTTATACAAGAATATTATACATACCGTGAAACACCCTTGTGAATATTTATTTTAATTAATTTAATTCGAATAATATTAATTAAAATAAATTTAAATTACTTTTCGCGAACCGCATGAACCACATTGTAAAAATAGAAATAATCAAAACAAAATTAGAGAAAATAAGAAATGTCATTGTCATGTGCTTTGTACATTTTCGGTTGATCGTAAAAATGTTGCAGCGGATAATAAAAGGGAAAAAAGCTGTGAGTGGAGTTTAAAGCTTTCAGAAGCCTGAAAAGAAACCAACAGAATACCTGATGAGGGGAAATGTTGAGGGCATTGACCGAACAACGGCTAGCAAAAAAGTCCGCTCGACGCAGTTAGAAAAAA